TCAGTAATATCAATGCCATTTTTAGAAAATACTTTGCTACTGAGGAAAACCAAGTAGTAGACATCATTTTCCTGTTCTAAGTGTGAACAATATGTATTCATGAGTGTTTAATTTAACTACAGTTTTGTCCATGAATATAAGCAAACACTTCTTGCCAAGAAACAAAATAACAAAAAAAATTAATTTATAGGTGTATAAGTAAATATGAGCTCTCTTTATAGAGTGGATTCTTTAATTTTAGTGGCTGATGAAGATATTCAAAAATAAGAACAAATCACAAAATCCATCAGTAGAGGGTAAGGAAACGCTCAACATTTCCACTGCATAGACTCTTATATTTTGATTTAATAACAAAAGCTTTCAATAATTCTTTAAAATTTATAGTAGTGATATCATCCACTATTCACTCAATATTATGTTTCATATTTCTCTTTTTAGTTATTTAGAAATTTCAATACACATTAAGACTTCTGTTTAATTCCCCAGGACCCATGGGCAGTCTAGTAAGTACACAAAAAGGCAGGCAGGGATTGTAAAAGTTGGGAGGCATTGTGAAGAAGACTGGGCAGAGTGCTGATTCTAGAATTATTATCTAAGGAAGTTTCCGTAAGGGTGAAATAACATTTGTATACAAACATGTTCATTCCCGCAGCCAGTTCTCTGGAAGCAGCAGTCCTTGTTCCTCTTACCATTTGCAAATGTGGAGTTGCATCATGCAGCTCAAGACATTTGGAATTTTAAACCTTCTGTTAAAGTTGAAATTACAGAAGTAGCTTTACATGTAACTTAAAATTAATCCTTCATTATTCAGTCTTCAAGAATGTTAGTTATTTTTGTTTGAAAGTCTAAATCTCTTGAATAGATGCCAATATTAACCTCTAAATGGCATTATAACTTTTTTTGTTGATAGCTGGTAGAAATAACTTGTTCAAATCATTTGCCTAAATCATGTTATTTGCTCAAAGCAAATAGAAGACTTCTATAATGTAAGATGGAGAACTATGGTAAGTCGTGTGCATAGTTTTTTTTAAAAGCATACATTTCACAGAACTGTTCATTGTCTGAAGAATAACTCAAGTATATAAACTGTTATCAGAAGAAAAATCATAATTCAAAATTTCTTTCATTGCATTTCATTCTCTTAGGATACTTTGTAGCTTCTTTTATAACTATAGTTTTTAAAAGATTCGATTTTAGCATAATTTTCCATCCAAAAATAAGTGTGACCCTGTAAAATAAATATTCATGTTCACATTCTAGAGGTGATAGATTAAATACGACACACAACTGATGGCAGACATAGAATTGTTACATGCTTGATACAATGTCTCATAGTATGACAAAATAAGGAGTTTTTTTCGATAGTTTGCATTCTACTGTGATTTAATGTGAAAGGATATAATTTAATTCAGGGGAACATTAACCAGTTAACCTGATGATTAAGACACAAGTCACTGCTGAATTAAGTGTGTATATGCATATATTTTGCACTGGTTTGTACAGCATTATGAGCATTCTTCTCAGTCCTATTTAGAGCTGTTTCTGGGGAATTATATGATATCTATACCCACTGTCATATATGTATGTTTATGGAAACACTTGTGTAGGCATGGTTCTTGTTTTTTATGGTTACAGTGAGGTTTGTTTTCTCCTGATTGTCTTCAGGTCCTTCCTAGATGTCAGCATGGAGAATTTCACTGAAGTAACCGTATTTGAGTTGAAGGGATTCACTGACAATCCTAAGCTGCAGATAATTTGCTTCTTCCTTTTTCTAGCAGTTTACCTTTTTACTCTCATTGGAAATTTAGGGCTGATTTTGCTGGTCATTGGGAATTCCTGGCTGCACAACCCCATGTACTATTTTCTGAGTGTCTTGTCTTCTGTGGATGCCTGCTATTCTTCTGTTATTACCCCAAATATGTTGGTTACTTTCATGTCAAAGAAGAAAGCCATTTCATTCTTTGGGTGCGCAGCACAGATGTTTCTTGCTATAATGTTCGGGACCACAGAATGCTTTCTTTTGGCTGCAATGGCCTATGACCGCTATGTAGCCATCTACAACCCCCTGCTGTACACCGTGAGCATGAGGCCCAGGGTCTATGTGCCACTCATAGCCGCGTCCTACCTCGGGGGTTTCTGCATGCCACCGTGCACACGGGGGCCACTTTCAGCCTGTCCTTCTGTGGACCTAATGTCATCCAACACATCTTCTGTGATGTCCCTGCTCTGCTTGCGATTTCCTGCTCTGACACTCACAGAAACCAGCTTCTACTCTTCTACTTTGCGGGCTCCATTGAGATATTTACTGTACTGATCGTCCTGGGATCCTACGGTTTCATTCTGTCAGCTATTCTCAGGACACACTCTGCAGAAGGGAAACGGAAGGCCTTTTCTGCATGTGGCTCTCACCTCACTGCAGTGTCCATTTGCCACGGAACTCTTATTTTCATGTACGTGAGACCGAGTTCCAGCTACGCCTTGGAGAAGGACATGGTGGTGTCCATGTGTTACACCATTCTGGTTCCCATGCTGAACCCCATCATCTACAGCTTGAGGAACAAGGATGTCAAGGAAGCAATGCAAAAAGTGTTGAGAAAAACTAGTTTATGAATAAAGTATTTTTTCATGCTAAAATATTACCTAAAATTAAAATTGATGTTCTGTATGTCAGAATAAAGAGTTTGATGATAATGTTTAATTTATCAGTATGAGTCTCTTTGTGAATATTTAAGATAAGGGACATGAGCCATCCTCTCCTGTGTTATACTGAAAGCAGAAATAAACTATCATTAATTTGCTTTTACAACATTCTTTCAATAAATATATTTCCACACATACATGCTGGTATCACTGGAATGTAACAAATATGCACTAAGGCCTGTTTCTACATTAGCTTTAGCATGCTGTGTGTTCTATTTCCTTAACCTAACTAAATTATGCTTTGTAGTTTACCATACTTACATTTTTAAATAATGTTGTATCTTTAGCTGAGTGGTTTGATAATACACTGTGTCAGGAACTGGATGTTCCCATTGCTCCTGTAATCCCAGAACATTTTCTCTAGAGATATCAGTGCTTAATTCCAATTTGAAGCAATTCTCTTCATTTTTTGCATTATACAGCAATTGCATGATTGTTATCCTCAAATTTCTGGAAATCATCACTTGGCTGACTAAAAAGGGTGAAGTTATTTTGCTTTTATTATTACACATCCACAGTGCAGGTATAAAACCCATTCATTAATTTTATGGGATTAAGCATTGGAATTTATCAGGACTAAACTTAAATCTGACAATGACGACAACAACATCACAGTTCATTTAATTCAATAGAACTTCTCAGCAGATTTGGATCTTTCAATAACAGAGTCTACATCTCTAAGTAGGAGATTTCCCACAGGCCTGCCTGCTACTCAGCTTTTGTCTCTGTTGTCTTTTATCACTACCAGGGAGAGGCCCACAGAGATTCCACCCTTCCTCACTGCCTAGGTCATGGAAAGAAATAACAGAAAATGAGCTCTACTCTGCTGGTGCTGAGTCCTAGTCCTAACATGACTCATTTTCACTCCACTTCTTGTTGGTGTGTGTGTGTGTGTGTGTGTGTGTGTGTGTGCGTGCACGTGCGCAAAAGTGCAAGGGATCGAACTCAGGCCCTTCCACTTTTGAACTGGTGGTGGAACCACTGAGCCAAATCCCTGGCCTCTAGGTCTTCATCAAAGTGAGATTAACTGTATTTTATCTTCCTCATTCTTCTTTAATTATTATGTTTAAATTATAATTTTGTGAATTTATTTACTCCATCAAGGATCCCTTTATTCATTAATTATAGTAATACTCTAAATGCATACTATAACCAAGTATAATTGTCTAAAGTGTGATTAATGAATTTAAATAACACTGAGACAGATGACATATATTCCAATGTATTTCTACAGAGTACCAAAAAATATTTTATTCTTATATTGGGAAATTCCTTGTGATATCACAATATTATTTCCTTGGAATATAAAAATATCCATGATCTGTATGGAGTCAAAAATGCATGTTAGGACTGACCCAGAATGAATGAGATTATATGCATATTTTAGTGTGTGTGTGTATATCACTAAGAATTGAACAGTTCCTTAAACAGATTACAATTCTAAATAATGGTGAACTTTATGCACATATAAATTTAACTTTGCATCATAAAACTCAATCACAATTGTAATAAAAGAATAAACCATAGACTTGAAAATTATACATTTGTTGAACTATTAATTCATAAGACACTGGATAGTGAAAGAGAAAAACTCTTGAAAATAGCAAAACCCTACAAAATGTCTTATGTAGAATGGCTTCTGCTGTCTCTGACAGAAGTTTGCTTTGTTTAGTTCAGAATTAACAGATACCAGAGGCATTAAACACTGAAGGAGGCATCTGGTCTAATCCTGAGATAACAGAACACATCAAGACCTTGGGATCCAAAGTTCTGTAAACCACATGATTGTAAAGGTCAAAATGAAGAGAAACATTGTTAACATTGCTTTGCTGACTGGGAACACTCCCTTCCTATGGGCTAGGATAGATAACTAGATGAATCTTAAAGGTAAACTATCAGATTACAAAGGATTGCCACATCTGGGTTAAAGCTAACTGTCTTGTGACCATGATTTGCATATTGGTAATGTGAACTGATAGAATGAAATATAACCACCTATGTGAGATCATGGCTATAAAACACTATAAAAGGGGAAGCTATATCCCAGTACATGGTCGATCTTAGCACTGCCTTTAAGTGCAATCGACCTTTTTTGACAAAATAAACTTTTTATCTTACTTTCTCTGCATCTCTGTAGGTATAACTTACCAATTCCTTCTGTAACATTTGGTGCATTGGCCAGGAAGAAAAAGGCTATTTGACATAGCCTGTGGTGGACCTCGACCTGAGTCCCACTGGAAGGAACTGCTGTCTGGCTCCTCAGAAGTAAAGAAGTGTGCCCCCAAGTTTTCCGGGATTCCCTTTTTAAGACTCAGAGGCCAGCTCATCAGCAATGGACTGTTCAAACCCAGAAGAGAGACAGTACAAGAAAAGTGAGTGAGTAAATTCATCTCTCTAAATGGTGAGATTCCCTGGGCAACCCCTACTTTGTTTTGCTTTTGTTTTGGTTCTTAATTAAACGTTTGGACAGAGTACAGATTAAAGGCCTGATTACTTTCCCTACTTTGCCATTTGTGAGGATTTATATCAATTTATATCAATTTGGGCAAAATATAGAGTGAAGGCCTAATTACCCTATACTCTTGGCCATTTGCGAGGGTTTCATTTGTATACTCTCAATTTGTTATTGTGCTCTGTATTGTATTTTGTAAGGGCCCCCAGGGAGAAAATGTGCTAACTTCTTGTATGATTGTATGTATAAAAGAGATTCCATTAAAAAAGTAAATAAAATGAGTGGCAAAAGCCATTGGTGGCCTCGTCTGTGAACCAAAACAAAAGGAGGGACACTCATGCTTAAAGAGCCCTCCTGGCATTGCAGAATAGTTTTTCATGTTTATATTGAATATCAGTCAACTGCTAGGCATGACCCTCAGAGACTAACAAGATAGATTCTACAGATTTAAAAGGTCGTAAGGACACCTCTCCAGAAATAGAAAAAGAAAAAAAAATCCTGTGCTGTGGGGAATACGATATAACTTAAAAGGGCATCCAAAGAACTATAGAGAGACAGATATGATGGATTTAACTGATGGAACTCATTCATTGCTGCTACAGGCAGAGCAGGAATTAGACTCTGATTGCTGGATGTGTGCACCACTCACCATGATGACTTATGACGCAAATGGCATCATAAGTGACCTGTCCTTAGAGTCAACAAAGCTTACTATGGACCCCTTACTCAGCTACCCATTAGATATAATTGGCATGAATTTAATGAGGGTAAGGAGCTACCCCAAAAATAAAGGGAGGAACGATACAGAGAACTTTTGTAAATAATCTAAAGACCTACAACTTGTTAGAAAAATGTAAAATGACTTCTTCTGTCTCTTAATATCGATCTGCTTTGTTTAGTTCAAAATTAGCAGACCCTGGAGGCATTGACCATGAAGTAGGACATCAGGCCTCACCCCTGACCTTGAACACCCTCTTGACCTTGAACACCCTCTTCCTGTGCAATAGAATAGGTGGCTAGATGAACCTTGAGGTAAACCCCCTCACTACGAGGCACTGTTACATCTGGGTTAAAGTGAACTGTCTGGTTACAGTAATTTGTACACGGGTAATGTGAGCTGAGGAAATGAAACAACCACCTGAATGAGATCGCAGCTGTAAACCTATAAAAGAGGAAGCTGCAACCCAATAGGAGGTCAATCACTTTCAGTGCCTTTTTGAGTGCAATTCGACCTTGGCTGACAAAATAAACTTTTGTTATTTTACTTCCTTTCAGCTCATCTCCATGTGTGTGTCACTTGCCAATTCCTTCTACAACAAACAGACTGAGAGGGTTGGTTCCTACCTCTGAACCTTCTCCTATTTTTATGGGGGTCCCTGTAGACTGTTCCCTGCTCTGGTTTTGCTCTTTTCTCTTTTGACCTCCACTGCTTTGAGTCCTTTACCAAGTCCACCCCTTCCTCTATTTATTCCTTATGCTTACAGTCTCAGTACTTAAAATGTGCAATACACTACTGTTAACTATGACCCAATGCTTGACAGCAAATGTCTGGAACTCATTGACATTATGTGATTGAGATATTGTGTATTTTTTAGCATTTTTTTCTTTGCTTTGCTCTGTGTGTGTGTGTGTGTGTGTGTGTGTGCACGTGCACGTGCACCTGTCTGTGGGCAGTTCTGAGGATTGAACAGAATCCCTTAGCCCTGAGCCTTATCTCCAGCACTGGCAGCCTCCCCTCTTTAACAGAGACATGATTTCACACATGTAATCCTCCTGCCTCAGCATTCCAAAATCCTGAGATTAGAGCCATGTGTCAGAGCTTCTGGTTTAGCAGTTCTTCATTTTTCAGAAACTTTGGCTCTTGCCAGCAGCTTTCTGCTTTCTATACAGTATATTAATTGTCTCATGTACAGGGTAGTTGCATTATCTGCTCTTTGATTATTTTATTACATTTAGCAGAATGTTATTCAGGTTCATGCCCGTTCTTGCATAATGTAGGATATCCCTTTTAAGGCTAATATTTCATTGTTTATGTAAGTTACTTTATATTTATTCATTCATAAGTAATCTATACTTAGGTTGTTTCTACATCTGGATTATTTCAATTTATGGGGCAGTGAATAGGAAATAATAATACTTCTTTGAGATTATTCAAATACTAATACTTTTAGTTATCCAGACATGGTTTGCTGGATCCTCTAATAAATAAGTAAGTCAAAGTTGATTGTAAAATATCCTTGGCAATTAGCAGACACCTCCAGGCATTTGATCATGTGTCCAAATGCTTTAGGGATAATCCTCCAGTAGCTTTTCCTCTCCCTGGAGGAAGTGTCTAAAGTTAAAAAGTATCCACAAATTGTCCTCAAACACCGAATGTGAAGAAACACAGAGACTCCAGACAGGGATTTCATTGCAGGTAACAGAGACCAACTACTTCATGGGGTGTCATACATTATTAAAATCTGAAGAAATGCTCCCAATTTTCATGGGCTGTGCCATTGGGATAAATGACCATTTCTGACTCACTTTCTGTGCTTTCTACAATTTCACAAAGCTTACAAAGCACGAGGACCTCACTGTTTCTTGTATCACTATTTGAAAAAGCATCCTAAGAATTTGAGGGGAAATCATCTTGGAAGCACATTATATGAGCACTTAGAAAGTTTTTAATCTTGCATGCATATAATTTTATATCTATTGGATGGTGAAAGTGAGAGATTAACTGAAAATGAAAGGATACAAAAGTTTTAACGTCAGTACTGAGACCGCAGTGATTCATTCTCTCAACTTGATCCCCTTCCAAGTCCTGAGGTATTCAGTGGCTCTGGACTCCTTCTGACTCCCTAAAGTATTTGAACATCTAAGATTATCCAAATAAATGTAAGAATTAGATCGTTTTTTATCTCTCACTAAGGAAAAAAATTGCCCTTTTATATTGAGATACATGAAGTAGTTTTTAGAGTGACTATTTCATGAAACATTTTTTAGTAATGGTAAGATGTTCATTTTGCACTGGCGTCTGACTAAATTTTTCTCAGAGTATAAGTTTAAAAATAAACATGATTATTCCATAACAATTAGTCGGTTGTAAAAAGCAATTTCATTAATCTCTGAAACTGTAGAAGAAACATCTATTTTTCTGCATGAATATTGTTACTTGATCATGTATCTTATTTTATAATATTTTATCTTTAGAAACCAAATCAAACCAAGCCAAGCCAAACCAATGACAAAAAGGATTTAAACTGTTTCTTATTGTGCTCACTGAAGGTGTTTCTCAAATGCAGTAAACTTGTCTCCATTTGTATTTAATATTATGGTGATGTCTGAATGGGCATAGTAGGAGATCAAATACCTACAACCACATAAGCAATAGTTTATGACAGTGACCTGTTCCATACAAATGATTGCTTTGATGCATAATGTGCCTTGTGGGAAAGTTTTATTTGCTTCTAGATCAAGTACAGCTGGCTACCATAGAACAATCTCTCACTCTTAAGTGTGTCATTTATGTTGCTTTCTATTTAAAAAAAATTGGTGCTCACAAGTTTTTACACCATTAATAATGAACTTACATTGAGATGCTATATTCACCTTTTTCTATGCTGTATTTAAACCCGTAGGCTATAAGGAATCCAGGTGCAAGTCATCTGGCTCACACATACTTGTCTGCATAATGGGCAATGTCATATTTGGAAGAAGGCCTTGTGATGTAACACAGAGAAGATTCCAAAATACAGCCAAGAATCAAAAAAATATAGAATCTTTACTATATGTTTTATGTCTATAATATCTCATAGCATATTTCCTCTTTATACAATGTCTAAATGTATAAAATTTATTTACAAAGTATCATCGTTATTTTTTAGAAATTGTAGCATCTTCTAGCCAAGATAATTTATTTGAACTTTTCTTTTCTGAAATCCATGCTAATGGAGTCTTCTAATTTGCTCAGAATTCTTTACACTATACCAGGTTTCAGAACGATAGTTTGTCTGATTTCTATATTCAAGTAAGTATATTTCAGTTTTAGTAAGAAGACTCAGAAGGAAATATATTTCCAGTAAATTTATGTAAAAGCAACATATTAAAATGCAGTCAGACTACTTATTAGGAAAAGAACATAAGTAATGAAAACCAATAGTACCTTGATTATCTAACAATACCCATGGATTGGGGACATGCTGAGGTAAAAATTTGAACCTGTTCATTTACATATTTAAGTATATACTATACATATGTAAAGAAAAATCATTTCATTATCATTTGAAAAACAAAAATATGCAAATGTAAATGATCCAGGAGAGCTATTTCTGGAAACCTTGGACACTTTCATACACTTAATTCTTTTTTCAATCAAAATTGCAAGGACATGTTTTTATGCATGAGTACATAACTAGACATAAACTGATTCTGCAAAATAAACGTATCCTCTATTTATCTAGCTATCTATCTAGGTATGAAGCCTTCTCAAGCTCTGAAACATTTATGGATAAGGATATTGCTTTGGAGTGGACACTGGATGTAGAGGAATGTTTTGTAGCTTGAGTGCTGCCAGTACTGCTTTACTTCCAACTAACTAAGACAAACTATGGCTTAACAGTTAATAAGATACTTTTATGAGTATAATCACCCACAGTGAGAAACAATAATATTCTGATATATATTCAAATATAATTTATTTTTAAAGTTACAGAAGATAGTACAGTTGAATTTGGAAATACTCAGTACTGGAAAATTTGTATGTATTTATTTACCTATTTTGCATAATAACAGTCTTCCAGGTGATAATATTTCCATTTTTCCCCAAAGCTGATGTTCCTACAAACATAAGTCTGCAGATCACCCTGAATGGAGGGGCACAACCTCACCACAGTGACCGAGTTCATCCTGCTGGGCGTCACAGACCGCCCTGAGCTGCAGGCTCCACTCTTCCTCCTGTTCCTCAGCATCTACCTGACCTCGCTGCTGGGCAACCTGGGCATGATCATCCTCACCCAGGTGGACCCCAGGCTGAAGACTCCCATGTACTTTTTCCTCAGACACCTGGCTCTCACGGATCTTGCCTATTCCACAGCTGTGGGACCCAAAATGTTGGAAAATTTTGTTGTGCATCCAAATACAATCTCTTACTATTGCTGTGCTATCCAGCTTGCTGTATTTCTTCTGTTTATTGGTAGTGAACTTTTTATTCTGTCTGCCATGTCCTATGACCGCTATGTGGCCATCTGTAACCCTCTCCTGTACAATGTAATGATGTCACAAAAGGTATGTTGGGTGCTGGTGGGGATTCCCTATCTCTACTGCACATTTATGTCACTTGTAGTCACCACAAAGCTTTTCACTTTGTCCTTCTGTGACCGCAATGTTATCAGTCATTTCTACTGTGACTGTATCCCCTTGTTATCTTTACTGTGTTCAAATACATATGAAATTGAATGGATAATTATGGCCTTTGCGGCATTTGACTTGATTTCCTCACTCCTGATGGTCCTGGTGTCCTACCTGCTCATCCTCACAGCCATCCTCAGGATGAAGTCTGCAGAGGGCAGGCGCAAGGCCTTCTCCACCTGTGGGTCCCATCTGACAGTGGTCACCGTGTTCTACGGGACCCTGATATTTATGTACGTGCAGCCCACGTCCAGTCACTCCAGTGACATGGACAAAATGTCTTCAATATTTTATACTTTGATCATTCCGATGTTGAACCCTTTGATCTACAGCTTGAGGAACAAAGATGTAAAATGTGCCCTTCAAAGGACCATGCGAAAGATATGCTGTATCTGTTCTTGAAGCCTGCATACAATGTGCATTTGGCACATTGGATTTGGATGTGCTGTTTTCCTTCAGAATGCATGGCAAGCACAAATGCTCTGAGCATCTTGTTAAAGTTCAACCTTCTCCAAGAGAAAAGGTTGGCCTCGAAAAGCAGCTAATATCTGCCTGCCTTTAAGAGGAGAGGGAGATTTTAAACAGTGACTGAATAAACTTTATAGTAAACCAGAATAGATTTAGAGACAGTAGACCTTAAGAGCAGGTAGCAGAAAGTATATTTTCCATGTGAGTGAGGAGAAACAATAGATACAAATGAGACCATAAATGATTCTTTAGCACATTCTCAACCATTACAATAAACTCTCCAGTGTGTGTGTGTGTGTGTGTGTGTGTGTGTACACCAATTAAGAAAAAATTCTCATTCTACAGCACTTTTTTCCTTTCCTTACTAATCCAATATATATATCTTAGTGCCTCTGTTGGTCTAATGGATGATTACTCTTCCTCACCAATCACAGAATAATTTAAACTCTTATACCATAATCTGTTACTTTATTCTTACATAAAATGTTCACTCTGAAAAGAAGTAAATTTGTAGTTTTTCTCTCTTGTGGCTGACTTTTCACATATGTGGCTAGACAAGTGTGTTCTGTTCTTATTAGGATTCATTCTTTGAATCTATTTGATAATCTGATTGGTAGAAGCCCGTGGATAATCTTATGATTTGAACCATGCCATGCTGATGAACAGTGCAGGATGTGTGTATCAATGTCCACAGGATTTCTAACAATACTTTGGCAAACCTCTCTAGAATTTCTCTCATATCTTCAGTATTTTTAGTATTAACATTTGTGGCACTTTTCTTGCATCACGGAGAGATTGATGTAACCTTTCATGAAATAGCTGCCTTGTCAATGAAATCTAAACAGAAATAACTACTTGGACTAGTAAAAGCCTGTTGTTTTCATGTGGAGACAAACACTTCCATGGCATTTATTCAGTTCATTTTATATTTTCCAAATCACCATTCCTTACCTAATGTTGGCTATTTATTCATATGTATAGATAAGAACATGCAGTGAATTCCTAGAATGAGTATGTCAAAGGTAAACTGAAATTTTAATATTGTTTTGTTTTTGTGGGCAAAAGTTTACAGAAAATTTAATTTGACATGTTATGGTATATTCGGTAAATTATTTTTAATGTTTCATCAAGTTAACATCAGTCGATAATCATGCCATCTAAAATAGACACAGGTAAGTGCAGGAATGAAAGGGCAACACTGCTGGGCATGGTAGAGGCACAAGTGAAAGCAGCAGTGATACCACTAACTCCTCTGAGGATGGAGACTGTCAAGAAATCACAGTTATGAAGACTGAGGAGGCTGTGAATGGAGGGGATCCCTGCTCCACCGCTCACAGGACAGCTACCAAGTGCAGCCTCTGTGCAACACTGTGGGCCTCCCTCAAACAAGCTAGCTGTACAAATTCACCTCTAACCCCTATTCTCCCAGTAGGTATCTCCTCAAACGTGCTAGACATGACATTACAGTTACAAAGGCACAGCCACGCACACAGTGCCTAATAGCTAAATCTTGGAAATGGCCTAAAGGTCCATCATCAGAAACCTGGGTAAAGAAAATGTGGAATTTATATACAATGGGGTACTACTCTACCATCAAGGATAAATGGGAGTCATGTGTAAGAAAATGATTCAACTAGAAATCACAATAAAAGTGAAATAAATCAGACCACAATATTAAATATAACATGGTTCCTTTTATATGAGAATCTCAAAATATTAATCAATTAAAGAGCAAAGTAGTGGGATCACATCTTATTGAAGAACTTCTGCACAGCAAAAGAACTAAAAGACAACCTACAATGTTGAAAAAAAATTTACTAGCTGCTCCTCAGTCAAACGGCTCTTATCTAGAATATATAAAGAACTCAAAAAAATCAACACCCCCAATTATAAAGACCTGATTCAAAAATGGGCATCTGAAATGAACAGACATTCTCAGACAAAGAAGTAAAAGCAGCAAGTACATATATGAAGAAAATGTTCCACATCACTGGTCATTCGAGAGGTGCAGATGAAAACAACACTGAGATTCCACCTCACCCCACAAAGAATGGCTGCTATAAAGAAATTAAACAGTAACAAATGTTGGCGGGGTTCTGGGGAGAAAGGAGCCCTTCTCCATTGTTGGTGGGAGTGCAGACTCCCACCCACTATGGAAATCAATATGGAGATACCTCAAAGAGCTGGGACTAGAGGTTCCATTTGACCCAGCCATCCCTCTGCTGGGTATCTTTCCAAAAGAATTTTAAAAATCATATCACAGGGATATATGCACACCTATGCTTAAAGCAGTACAATTTATAATAGCTAAAACCTGGAAACAGCCCTTTTGCTCATCAGTTGGAAACTGGTTAAAGAAGATATGTTTTTTTTTATAAAATGGAATACTACTCAGCCATAAAGAATGAAAAATGAGATTCATTCATAGGAAGATGGATACATATTGAGGTTATACTCCTAAGTGAAATACATAAGTCACACATGTGTAAATACCGAATAGTTTCTCTGGTGTGAAAAACTATAATAGTACATAAAATCCTAATGAGATAATTGACAATGTGAAATAGGAAGAAAATGGCTAAAGGTGTAGGGAAAGTGGGGAGTGTAGGGGAAAGGTATTAAGGGAAAGAAAAAAAAACATGAGAAAATGAAAAAATGGAAATAAAGTGTTTGTAAATGGGGAAGGCAGGAGGGGGTGAAGGGAGGACAGGGACAAGGGGAAAAAATGAGAACCAAGAACTGTCATGTAGAGGTACAAGATCCCAGTGATGAATGTAACTGTACTGTAGACCTAAAATGTATGAATAAAATAAAAAAAAGAGATCAAAGTAAAAGATTAATAAAAGGAAATAGAGAGACGGATCTTTTGTCAGTGAAAGTGACAAACGTGTATACTAATGGATAGCAGAAGGGAACCTTGAAAGTATTAATATGTGTCATGCACATGTATCAAAGTTTACATTGAATACGGTCATTAATTTTACTGACATGTGTAGGAGACTCCCCTTCCCCCGAGTTGTAGGCTATGAGTGGCACCTGCTTCTTGCCCTCCCTAATTAGGCTGTACTCTTTTATATTGAGTCACACCGAGGCCCTGGGTGACCCAAACGGGCCTGTCACCTAGCAGAGCTGGGCCTGTATGGCTCCTCCGCTAATGGCTGTCACTGAGGCCTAAATCCTGGTCTGTGAAGTGCCAGGCCCTGCTGAGTTACGTGCAGCTGAGCTCAGTGTGACCCCAGTAAAAACCCCTCTCCCCTGAATTCTCACTTCTCCCCAACCTTTTCAGTTGCTTCCTAATTGTACCTGGTCCCAGTACTTGTTTCTTCTAGAGAGATGAGTGGTTCCTACCCCCTAACAACCCTGCCTGGCATCATCGTGCCAGGCGTTCAGCAGTAATTCAGTGGATGACTTCAGAGCACCCCAGCTCCCTATTATTTCACATGATTGAGTTCAACAAATACTGGATGTGCTTGGGGGCTTTGGCTTTGCTGCCATCAGCAGCACTCAGCAGGGCCCAAGATTCAGCTGCACCTTTAGTCTCATTCCATCTATCTTTAAACTTTACCAGCGGTGTGGTGGCTCACAGGGACCTACTGCAGGGGTCACCAGTGAGGTCCATTCCCCCTGGTGCTTACAAATGTGGACTAATGAAATATAAAAATAAAGCAAAATTTGAAAGGGAGAAACAATAGCCCAGTGTGGTGGTACACTGCTCTAACCCAGCAACCAGGAGGCTTATGTAAGAGGTTTGCCTTGAGTTCAAGGCCAGCATGAACCTCATAGCTAAATTCCAGGGCAGCCTGATCTACAAAGGGAAACCCTGTCTGAAAAGAAAAAAGAAAAAATATTTTTAAGTGAATATATCTGTAGCAGTAATGTTATTACTAGAATCGTGATGTTACCAAGACCCCAATAGTTCTTTCATATGTTATCTAAAAGAGTAATTTTGATTTTTTAGCTATTTCAGTCATGAAAAATTAAAACTTTTATAATTAAAGGCTTTCATAAAGAGAACCACTTTCCTGCATGCTATGTTGTAGAACTCCAGCAGGCAGAAGACACCAAATGAAAGTCAGGAGGATTTATTTAAGGTCTGTACATTGGCTGGTGGACTCTGTCTAAAATAGATGAGCCCTGAGCAAAGAGATGTTCCAGCTTTTTTATGTTTTGTCTAAGCTGCCGGTTTTCGCACAGATATAGCAGGTGAGTTTCCCAGGACAGGACAATGGTAGACAGACTTGATTTGTTACAAAGTTACAAAGATAACTTTGCCTTCAGAGAAGGCAGTGTCTTGTGAATCATATGAGAAGAGAGGGTCATAACCTTTGCTTAAGGAACACAGTTGTTCGTGTTCTCTTTACCAGAACAAGGGAACATGCACTCAGGGGGAGGAGGTGGGTGGGGTAGCAGAGCTGCCAAAGCCTGGGAGGACTTGTTTTTCTTCTAGTCTTGCTGTGGTTGTAGGCACAAGTCATTATCAGTGTTGCACACAGTAGTCACTTAAGTAGAAGGACCTGTAAAAATGCATATGCAAAACTATATATGCTTATTTAAATTGATTTATTTAGATGACTCAAAGGCCATGAAAATTCACATACCATAGAGTTAACTGTTGTAAGTGAACTGTTTGGAGGCGATCGTTATACTCTCAATGTTGAGCAATGACCCCTCTGTCTTAGTCTAAGATATTCCCATTCCACACTCCGTGCCCAAGTGGCCCTTTGCCCCTCTTCCTGAATTCATACAGCCTCTGTGAATCTGCTGATCTTCACTGTATGCTTTTCTATTTGGGATATTTCTCGTAAATTATTCACAGTAAAGAGGATCTTGTTTCCCTGATTACCTTGCATCAATAAATATTCAAGTTTTTGTTACAGTGTGTGGTACATCATTACTTTAAAAATTTTCATGCAGACCATGAGTTACGCACTCAATGTTTTCAAATCTTTCAATTCAATACCGTTAAATATGACTAGAATGTTTTACACCAAATATCTGACATTCTTTTATTTTGCGCAATTGAATTTTTGTGCTTACTTATTATCAGGTCCTGCTTTATCCCAAAACCTTGCCCTTTGCACCCATTGTTTTATTTTCCTATTGTGTAAATCAGAATATTTTCAGTGTCTTGTACGGTATAAGTGGGAATGCTGAGAATTTGCCTAGTTCATTTAACATAATGTTCTCCATTATTCTCTACATATTTTTCCATTATTCTTACATCCTACCTCTGGGACTCAGGGAAGGTTGTGTGCCACCCCAGGCCCCACCACAGCTCCTCAGGAACATGCAGCACCCGGGATCCTACCAGGACCTTAGCCTCTGAGTCCCTGTCCCTACACTCCTGCATATTGCAGAATTCCTTTTTCTAAACACTGAGGGATTTGTTCCTGTATCTATCACAGTTTATGTATGTATTTATCTGTGAATGGGTAATTAAGTTTTTCATGGGTGATTATTTTGTGTTGTGTTGCAACGAACATGAGAGTATGAGAATCCATTAGAGATCTAAATGACAGTGCTTTGGAGAGCTACCCATGAGCGGGATTGCTGGATTAGGAAACAAATACATAGTTACCTAATGAAAAACCTGACACAAAGTCAGGTTTGAATGGAGTCATGATTATTAGTGGAAAACCTCCAGATATTGCATGAAATTCTCAGAGGCTTTAAGGGCAACCAGGAAATTGCTTGGCGACTACTCAGAGAGAGTATCAAGGCTTTTGCAAGAATGATAAATCACCCTCAAAACATCAAAGCCCATGTTAAGGAGCACAGGGGTGGAAGATTCGAGAGGGAGTTTCATTACAGGTAACAGAGACAGGTGGCCTCATGCGGTGCTGTATTAAACTGATGTCTCAGAAGCTACAGAAATGTCCACATTTTGCTAGTGAGAGAGAGTCTAGGCTTCTGTTTCTGAGCTTTTCCAGCTCCATAGCACCTGAGCAGCAAGAGGACCTCTCTCCTCTCCTCTCTATTTTGCTGTTTGAACGTTTTCTGCTCTGCTGAGAGATGGGTGCTCAGGAGCATCTCAGAGACAGAGTGGGTGTTTTCTTAGAAAATACAAAAATGTGTGTTACATATTTAATCATTTAGCTAGTATAATGCAATCATATAAATATATACATATAATTTCATACTCAAAGAAGGCCAAATGGGGAAAGAAAAAGTATAAAAATAGAATACAATCTTGTTTGACGTGACATTCTGAAACTTGAGTGATTCAATGTGTTACTGGGATCTAATTTGGGCTCTTTGCATTGTTGTGATTTGGGGAAAATATTTTAACACTTAGTAACTACAAAACTAAATGCTCAAAATGGCATTCATCCCTGATCTTTTAAGGAGGAATTGAACTTTTCCATCTCACTATGAGATGATACAATCATTAAGTTTCAGGAGTATGAAAAACTCAGTTATTATAGAAACATTATCGTTCCTCATTTTGGAGTAAATTTTACTGAGTATTGATTTTAAAAATGAAATTGAAGTGTACTGGGGGAAAATGCACCAGAAAAGAGGAAAGTGTTTCTTCTCACTTATTCCAACATCAATTCTTAACACATGAACATTTAAAAAAACTTCTTAAATTGCCAATAAAACCAATACACAAGAGAGCAAGTTAAACTGCTTCGTGTGGTGTTTTACTAAAGGTATTTCTATAATGTTATTACCTGGTAGTTTCTCCTATTTAAAATGATAAAGTTACCTATAGAGAGCAGAGGAATAGATGAAGTATTCAAAATCATCTTGAGAAATTTTTCAAAAACAATCAGTTGCATGTAACGGACTTTTCACTTGTCTTTTTTAAGCTTACTTAGAGATTTATGTCTCTACATTTGGCACTACAAAGTATGTTATTTATTCTTACGGTTTTAAAATATTAGAACAGTGCTTTACAAATTACTAACTGGTGTGCCCTAAAACACTGTGCCCTTTCAATCTGTGCTTGCACCAGATCTCATGTGAAGAAGTTCTTGTGTATGTGTGATTCAAAGAAGGACCTCAAATCACCTCAGGAGTCCATGTATTCCTCAGCTTTGTCGTGTTTTATTTTATCTCTACGAACTTGGGAACATAGTGAAATCTGTACACAATGAGGGCCTTTAAAATGCACTGTGATTGTATCACAACATTTTTCAACGTGTGCTCCCCTTTTATCCTGAGGGAAATTTTGCTTTATGTTCAGCCAATTCTAATAACTTACTTACTAATGTACTAAGATTTTCTCATGTAGCTTGTATCTGGTCAGCTTCATACAAAAGTTTATTTTAGTTGTGATTAAAATATTCCCAATGTCTTTTTTTGTTTTTATGTAGTTTATTGGTACATTCTAGGTATATAGTACAGTTACATTCATTACTGGGATCTTGTGCCTTTACATGACAGGTCTTGGTTCGCATTTTTTCCCCTTATCCCTGCCTTCCCTTCACCCCCTCCTCCCCTCCCCATTTACAAACACTTTATTTCCATGTTTTCATTTTCTCATGTTTTTTCTTTTCCCTTATTCCCTTTCCCCTACCCTTCCCACTTTCCCAGAAAATGTATATAAAGTTAACTTATATTGACATATAATAAAATAGATTTGAAAGACAGAAAAGTGGCACAGTGTGTAATTGTATATTCTGTTTTGAAATTACTATTAAATGTCTTATTTAATGTATCCATTTCATTTTATTTTTAGTACATGTTCACAATGCATCATGTTTCCATTTTTGCATAGAGTTGTTATTGTACAGAACACATTTTCCTTCCTTTTCTCATCCACTTTCCTTCCTTTCCTCCCGTTCCCTGTGTCCCTTGATCCCCTTCCCGTTTCAGGAGATCGATCTTCCTACTATCTCCCTCACTTTTGCTCTTTATCTACAAGTTGATTCCTCAGGTAAGAGAACCAGCGATATTTACACGGTGGACATGTACGTTTCAGTCACTGGGGCTCACCTTGATCGCCATTTCCCAAGGAAGCGTCCAGTTCACTTTTCTTCACAGTAGGTTAGAGATACATGAAATTCCATATTTTCTTTACCTATTCCATTTCCACCATGTAGGCTGCCTCCAGAATTTAGCTTCTATGAATTGTGCTTCTTTACAAATGGGTGCGCAGGATCACTCTAATATGATGACTTTGACTCCTTCAGGAAGATTTCTGCAATGTTGAGAGGAAGGTCTAAAGGAATTTCTGGTTCTAGCTTTTAGAGGAATCTCGGTATCGTATCTCATTTTATAATTACTACGGTGAATGTCACTTTATAGAATTCACCATTTCGATGTCATTAGTGATTGTTATTATGCAAATGACAACTACAAACATTAAACACCTGTACAATCCATATTTAGTTAGCCATTTGCTGTTTTTAAGCATCTATACTTACAGCTGTTATATGTACAGTTATCTCTGTACATATTATCATCTATGTCTGTGAATCTATCCACCTATTATATTTCTCAATTGTAGAAAGAACTTATTGAGGCAGACATTACTTAAATTCAAAGTGATTGTAGTTTCAAGTTTAAGAGTTTGAACATCCTGTACCCATTAGATGCCAGTATCAGCTCACTTTGCAAGACAACCAAGGTACCTCTGGATGTAAATAATGTTCTCTCTCATGGAAGGGAGAGTTATTTTGAAATGTTGTAAATGGGAATATTTGAATAGACTGTATTTGCACTGCCTGCAGGGAACGAATCTGTCCAGGTGATAGGAATGGAACACACTTGTTTAATGTTGACGCATCTACACAGAACAATTCTGCAGATCGCCCTGGAATGGAGGGGTCCAACCTCACCATGGTGACCGAGTTCATCCTGCTGGGAGTCACAGATCGCCCTGAGCTGCAGGCTCCACTCTTCCTCCTTTTCCTCATCATCTACCTGACCTCGCTGCTGGGCAATCTGGGCATGATCATCCTCACCCAGGTGGACCCCAGGCTGCAGACTCCCATGTACTTTTTCCTCAGACACCTGGCTCTCACAGATCTTGGTTATTCCACAGCCGTGGGACCAAAAATGTTGGAAAATTTTCTTGTGGATCAAAATAAAATCTCTTTTTATGGTTGTGCTCTGCAGTTAGCTTTCTTCCTTTTGTTCACTGCTTGTGAACTTTTAATTTTGGCTGCCATGTCCTACGACCGCTGTGTGGCCATCTGTCGCCCTCTCCTCTACACCGTCATCATGTCACAAAAAGTATGTTGGGTACTGATGGCGATTTCCTATCTCTACTGTGCATTTTTGTCCCTTTTGGGCACCGTGAAGGTTTTCACTTTGTCCTTCTGCAGATACAATGTGATCAGTCATTTCTACTGTGACAATCTCCCACTGTTATCTTTGGCCTGCTCAGATACACATGAAAGTGAGCTGTTAATTTTGTTCTTGTCATCTTTGAATTTGACTTCTTCTCTTTTCGTTATCCTTGTGTCCTACCTGCTCATCCTCAACACCATTCTCAGGATGAAGTCTGCAGAGGGCAGGCGCAAGGCCTTCTCCACCTGTGGGTCCCACCTCACCATGGTCACCGTGTTCTACGGGACCCTGATATTTATGTACCTGCAGCCCAAGTCCAGTCACTCCTTTGACACTGACAAAGTGGCTTCCATATTTTACACCCTGGTCATCCCCATGTTGAATCCCTTGATCTACAGCTTGAGAAATAAAGATGTAAAATGTGCCCTGCAAAGAACACAGAGAAAACTATGCAATATCTTTGTTTCAAATTCTCCAATAATTTTCTAGAAATGAAGCACAAACGTCACCCTCCTGTGTCTTCCTCCTGAGAGTATAAAAAGCACAAATGGGCTTCCCACACATTGAAATATTTATCTTTCTGGTATTTCTCACCTTCTAGATGCCATAAAAAACTTGAGTTAGATATTTTAATTTGTTTTTTTATAATGGTAATTATAATTCTGAAAATTTTATAGCAACAGGCAATACTTATACAGTCTAAAGACACAGCTCTGATGTAAAGAAGAGTAAGAAATAAAGAAATGGAGATACATGTGTTTTGTGATATTTGAAATTAGTACAATGTATTTCTAGTGTATGATGTTCCTTTTTGTGTAAATATAATATTTGATTTTAGGAAGCAGCAGAAAATTATACAAAGAAAAATTACACAATATTTTTTTGGTCATGCTACGCAGTGAAAATGACTTCAACTCCTCCATTAAAAATACAGGTTTATTATCTCATTAGGATCTTATGTATTATTATAACCAAGACCTGTCAGGTAAAGGTGCAAAATCCCAATAATGAATGTAACTGTACTGTATACCTAAATTGTACCAATAAATGCAATAAAAAGAAAAAAAAACCACAGGTGTAAGTCTTGGCCAAAGAGCAGAAACCAACAGTCTGTTACACTGAAGAATTTCATCTAATTTAAAGAATTAATGAATTTATAATCAAGGGATGGAAAACCATATTCCATGCCCTAGAGATCTGAAAGCAAGGAACAGCAGCTATTTTATTTTCACACAAAATAAACTTCAAGCAAAGGCTTATCAGGACACCCAAAGATGAACACTGTATATTAGTAAAGGGAACCATTTTGCTGGAAGAGAAAATAATTTAAAAATCCATGCACTGACTATTGGTGTGCTTAACTTCATAAAATAAATACTATTGGACATCAAAGACCAAATAAACACCAAAAAAATCCAAGTGGGTAATTCCATACCACAATTTAACAAATGGACAGATTAACTAGACAAAAAAATTAGCAAAGAAATATCAGGGCTTAACCACATATTTCCAAAATTGAAATTATCATTCTACTTTAATACTATAGAATATTCATTCTTCTCAGCAATACGCACAGGCAACTAACTTCTAAAGAGAAACTAACAGTTAGAATTAACAAGTGGAGTTTAATCAAATTTAAAGATTTGTGCAAAGAACAAAGCAGTCCCAAAATTGAACAAAATAATGTATAGATTTGGAAAAAATTTGGCTAGCTTCATCTCTGACTGAGGACTGAGAACGTATACAGAACTCATAATCTTTAGATCCTCTCAAAACAGAAGATCTGATCAAAACCTGGGCCACTGAAATGAATAGACACTTCTCAGCAGGAGCAGTACCAGGGGTCCATCAACACAGGAGAGGAAGGTCAGCATTGCTGGGCACTGCAGAGATGCGAACGAAAGTAGCAGTGATGTCACTGACTCCCCTAAGGATGGAGATCATCAAGAAATCAGAGTTACGAGGGCTGGGGAGGCTGTGAAAGAAAGGGGTCCCTGCTCCACCGCTCACAGGAGAGTTACCAAGTGCAGCCGCTGTGCAAGCACCATGGCCCTCCCTCAGACAGCTAGAAGTACAAATTCATCTCCTGTAAAGTATCTCACCAAAAGGTTTAAACATCAGATTACACTCATGCCTGCACACCTATATTTGTAGCAGAACAATTTGTAACAACTAAATCTTGGAAAGAGCCTATAGGTCCAGCATCAGAAGGCTGGTGAAGACAGTGTGGTGTTTATATACCATGGAGTTCTACTCTGCCATGAATGATGAATTGAAGTCATTTGTAGGAAAATGGATGTAACGTGAAGTCACAATAAAAGAGGAATAAACAGACACACAAACTTAAATACCATATGGTTCTTCTCATATTGGAAACCAATGATGTGTATAAAATAAGAGCCAAATAACACATAGACAAGAGGTAGTAAGGGAGGGTGGATCTTTTGCAAATGTGAAGAGGAGCAAGAGATAGGCGAGGAGACAGGAGAGAGGAAGGGAACATAGAAAGCATCAAGATGAGTCTTGTACAGGTATCAAACTTCCACAGTGAAAATAGCCACTGTGTAGGCTGACCTGGACTAATCAAAACAATCAAAATGTTTTAATTTAAGATATTGCATTCCGGTGTTTTTATTACTAAAATTGTAATGCTTATAAGACACCACTAGTTGATTCTCATGTTTTTAAAGGTATAATTTTCCAGTAGTGAACCATTTAGAGTCATGCAAATTGAAACTCCTATCAATTTACAGCTCTCATAGACAGAATCACTTTATTGCATGTTATAGATTCAAATGATAATCAGTGGTGCATCCAAAATGTATGGGGCAAAAATAATTGTTACTTTACTGGGAGGGCCCACAAAAACATACGTGTATCCCTTCATGTGCTTATTTAGAATGGATTCATTTAGGTAAAAGACACGTCATAAAATTAACTATTTTATTGATAATAATTTAGTGGCAGTTGTTACATTCTCAATATTGAGTAACCACCACCTGTGTCTAATTCTAAGACATCTCTGTCCACACCATGTCCCCAAGTTGAAATTCCTCCCGCTTCCTGAGTTCCTTCAGGCCCTGGTGATTAATTTTTCATGTCTTTATATGCTTTCTTGGGGGGGGCATGTTGAGGAAGGGTCTCACTATCTTGTTGAGCCTGACCTGTAACTGACTATGGAGACCAGGCTGGTCTCGAACTCACAAGATCCTCCTGACCCAGCTTCACAAGTTCTGGGATTACAGGCATGAGCCACCATGTCTGGTCCTATCTGTTTTCAACCTTGAAACGTGTTTGTAAATTATGCATTCTAAACAGGATCCTCATTGCATGAGCGTTTTTAATCTATAAGAATTCTAGTTTTTGTCATGCTGCAGGTTGGAACTTTAGTTCTTTAAGAATTGATCATGCTACCTCTGAGTTATATACTCAATTTTTTTTTCAAATGTGCACTAGATATCATATTGTTCAATGTAACTAGAACAGTTTATACTACATATCAAAAGGATTTATTTTTCATAATTGAAATTTTATCTTTTTATATGAGTAGCTGCTTCTTTCTTGTCAGCTCTGCCCTTTAGCAACTCTTTTTCTTTATGTTCAACAAAGTATGTTCAGTGCCTTCTATAAGTAGGACTTTACTGTATTTGTTTTGTTACTGTTTTAATTCACAGAGCGCAATTTTTTCTAGGTTCATCTTTGCTATTGCATATTGCAAAATTTCACATTCAAACACCGAAGATAAAGCACGTGTGTCTATCCCTACCCATCTACTATTGGGTAATTGTTTGTCCTAGCTTTGTATTGTGTTGCTGTGAATATGAGAGTATGAAATCTACTGGAGCTCTTAATGTCAGTACTTTGCATAGCTGCTCATAAGTGGAATTTCTGGATTGTGAAACAAACACATAAGTAAAGAACTAAATAAATGCATAGCCACTGCCAGTTAGTGGAAAACCTCCACATATTGCAGTAAACTCTCAGAGGCTTTTAGGGTAACCAGTAAATTGCTTGGCATCTCCTCAGGGAGTGTTTCAAAGCTTTTGCAAGAAGGATAAATCCCCCTCAAATCCTCAAAGCCCATGTTAAGCAGCCCACAGGTGGGAGAATCAAGAGGGAGTTTTCATTACAGGTAATGTAAACAAGCGGCCTCATGCGGTGCTGTGTTAAACTGACGTCTCAGGAGCTACAGAAATGGCCACATTTTGCTGGGCTTTGCCATCTAGTGAGAGAGCATCTAATCTTCTGTTTCTGAGCTTTTCCAGCTCCATAGCACCTGAGCAGCAAGAGGACCTCTCTCCTCTCCTCTCCATTTTACTGTTTGAACGTTTTCACCTCTGCTGAGAGATGGGTGCTCAGGAGCATCTCAGAGACAGAGAGGGTGTTTTGTTAGAAAATGCAAAATTGTGTGTTACATATTTCATCATTTAGCTAGTATAATGTAACCATATAAATGTATACATGTAACTTCATCCTCAAAGAAGGCCTGAACCACTTGCTAGGATCTATTTCTGGGTCTACACACATTTGTGACGTTTTGGAAAACATTTTAACATTGAACAACTACAAAACCAATTGTACAAAATGTGATTTATTCCTTATCATTTAATGAGGTAACGGACTTCCCACCACACAATGACGTGATATAATTGTTGAGTTTCAGCAGAATTTCATATTCAGTTTTTATAGAAACATTATTGCTCCTCTTTTTTTTGTGAATTTTTCTGAGTATAGATTTTAAAAATAAAGCTGAGGTGTCCAGGTGAAATAACACACCATAAAACAGCAAATTGTTTATTCCCACTTAGGACCACATTAATTCTTACCATACATATGTTCAAAAAATTGTTTTCCACAATTGCAAAACAAACCAATACAGAAGAAAAGAAGTATTGAACTGCTTCATTAGGAGTTTCCACTAAAGGCATTTTCATAATGCTTCGACTTGGTAATGTCTCATATTTAAAATGAGAAAATTATCTATGTATAGCAGAGCAATAGATCAGGTAGTCACAATGATTTCAAGAATTTTTTCAGAAATGGAAAATCAGTTACATGTAATGGACTTGTCACAGGTGTCTTTATATGGCTCACTTAGAGATTTATGTCTCTACCTTTGGCACTACAAAGGACATCATTTATTCTTTTAATTTTAAAACAGAACCATATTTCACAAAAGTACTAACTGTTGTACTTTAAGATACTATGTGCCTATGTTCAGTCTGTGCTTGCATTATGTCATTTAGGAAGAAGTTTGGTTTTCAAGATGACCAAGGCACCACAGGATACAAATAATGATGGCTCTGGTGGAAGGGAGAGATATTTTTGTTTGTTTGTTTATTGGTACCTGGAATCGTACCCAGGATCTGGTGCTCATGAGGAAGGCAGCAGGTAAATTTTGTCATTTGGAAAATAAAAATAGATTATAATTGCTAGGCCTGCAGAGAAGGAATCTGTCCAGGTGATAAGAATGGAAAAAACTTGTTTAA